GTATTCTTTGCTGGTGTCTCAGAATCCGGCCGAGGCACATTGTTGCCACCCGTCCTAGAAAATGTCACTCTCATCAAGCAACTGCTGGATCTCAGACTCCTCAGTCCAGCCCCAAGATGGGAGAGGGGAGAAGGCTGAGGTTAGAATAGAAGGAGCTGCCGAGACCCCTGGCAGATTTTCAGAGCCCCCCACCCCCCCACCCCGTCCCTCCAGAGCTGATGCAGAGTCCCAGGCCTCACTTAGCCAAATGCCCCAGGAATCTCCATTCGAGCCCTGCAGACCAGCAGGAGGTGGGGGGGAGAGGGGGAGAGCAGGGAACCTGGGGTGTGGAGGGGGACAATTTGCATACAGAAAGGTGAAGTCACTAGGGAAACTAGGCCCAGATCCTAAAAGTAATCAAAGTAGCTGATGGTGTGATGGCTCCTGAGAAAGGGCATTTTCTGGCCATACTGATGGCCCCAGGCCCGGCCCCCTCTCAGTTGGGCTTCCCCTTAAGATGGGTCTCCAGTGACTATTCCTGGGCCCCTGCAGCTTTCATAGTACCTTTCAGAGCTCCTTCTGGGTGCGAGCCCCTGTCGGATGCAGAACCTCGTGGTGGGCGCCCCTTCTGGACTTGGAAAGTAAGGAGCAGGAGGACGGAGGGTGCTCTGGCCAACTCTCCACACCCCCAGAGCAGGTGTACAGGTAGCTGTTTGCCAAGGCTCTGCCAGGAAAGAGAATACCGTGCGTGAGTGTACGTAGTAGATGCTTTATCTCCTTCAACCCTCAAAGGCACCTCCCGAACAACCTCCACTCCCGTGGTCGCTCAGTCAGTCAACAAACACTAACTGCCGGCCAGGCACATGACAGAGACCATGCCAAACTTTGGGGAGACGAATTTGGCAAAGGTGGATGGGGCGCCTGTACTCCTGAAGGGCATGGTGGTGGTGCCTGGCGGTGAGTTCTGCTGCCGGGGGTAAGGCTGTGATGGGGGTGTAGAAGAGAACCTGTGGGGGGGTGGAGAGGAAGACGGGGTTGGGAATGGGGTAATCCAAGCAGGCGTTCTGGAGGAAGTACTAGATGGGTATAAAGAAGGGGTGAGGAGAGAATGTTCTAGACAGAAAAAAGTACCTGTGCGTTTCTTCCTGTTCGGGCCAGAGCAGGACTCCCCAGACAGGAGGCTGCCCAAGTTAAATGAGTCTGGAAGGTTTCCTGAGGGTAGTAGGCGAGGAAGGGCTTTAAGCCAGGGCAGGACTTGAGCAGATCTATCTGTACTTTAGGAAGATCATTCTGGTTGCAAGGTGGGAAGTAGTTTGGTTGGAATGAGAGGGTCAAGAAAGTGACCCAGGTCTCTACAGATGAAGGAAATGATGAAGGAAATGGGAGCTCAGAAGAGTTTAGCCAACTTTCCTCAGGCCACCCAGCCTCTCAATGGCAGAACCTGATTAGAGCCCACATCTCTCTGACACCAAGATTCAGGCCCTGCCTCCTCAGAAGGTGGGGTCTCGCTAAAGAGATGGTGTAGTCGTCCCCAAGGGCAGGTGCCTAACAGCCTAGGGCAGGCAAGGGGTCTTGCAGGGAATCCCAGGCAGGATGAGGCCTGGGGGAGGTCTGGGGACTTGGGGTCTGGAGAGGCCGACTTTGATCTTGAAGCATGAGTAGAATCTCCCAGAAAGGAGGAGGAGGGTGTTTCTGGTGCAGGACATGAACAAGGACACTGAGTCCCAGCGTGAGAAGCAGGGAGACAAGAGAGAGAACTCGGGACAATTGTGGGACAGAGACAGGCAAGGGTGCGGGAAGCCCAGTGGTACCAGGCGGAAGAGTGTAGTCTTGATGGGGGGCAATGGGGAGCCATGGAGGCTCTGTGAGCAGGAGGTGACACAGACTGAGTGTCCAAAAGAGTGGACTATCTCCAAAGACCTCAGGCCACAAGTAATTCTACCTCATTACAGGCTGCCATTCTACAGACAAGGAAGCCAAGGCTCTGAGACCTTAAGTCACTTGCCCAGAGTCACCTTAGCCACCAAGCACTCGGCCCTTTGGAGCTCATTTCCAGCATAACTTTCCAGATGCCTCAGGCCAGCGTAGTCGCGGATTATGGGTTCTCAGAGCACACTGCACTGTTTTATGGCCCTCATTACAATTGTAATTAAATAATTGGGAAATGAATTGTTTTAATGTCTTCCTCCTCTGCTAGAATGTAAGCTCTGGAGAAAGCGTTCGTGTCCTGGGCCACTTCCCAGCCCTTGTACGGTGCTTTGCATGTCATAGAGCGCTTGGACATATCTATTGCAGAGAGGCAGGGAGGGCTGGGAGGGTGAGGACTGCATTACACTCTGTGAACTCTGGTGGCAAAATTCTCTGTCCTCCTTCCTCCCCGTCCTCATCCCTCATGCCCCTCCCCTCCCCCCGCCTGCAGGTGGCTTCTGGCTTGGTGTGGACCAGGAGGGGGCAGAGGGTACACTGTCTTGGACGGGCACCCTCTTTGGCGTGCTGGCCAGCCTCTGTGTCTCGCTCAACGCCATCTACACCAAGAAGGTGCTCCCGGCAGTGGATGGCAGCATCTGGCGCCTGACCTTCTACAACAATGTCAACGCCTGCGTCCTCTTCCTGCCCCTGCTCCTGCTGCTGGGGGAGCTGCAGGCCCTCCGTGACTTTTCCCAGCTGGGCAGCGCCCACTTCTGGGGCATGATGACGCTGGGCGGCCTGTTCGGCTTTGCCATCGGCTACGTGACCGGTCTACAGATCAAGTTCACCAGCCCCCTGACCCATAACGTGTCCGGCACAGCCAAAGCCTGTGCCCAGACTGTGTTGGCGGTGCTCTACTACGAGGAGACCAAGAGCTTTCTCTGGTGGACAAGCAACATGATGGTGCTGGGGGGCTCCTCTGCCTATACCTGGGTCCGGGGCTGGGAGATGAAGAAGATTCAGGAGGAGCCCAGCCCCAAGGAGGATGAGAAGAGCAGCATGGGGGTGTGAGCTCCTCTGGGGACCTGGGGATGCCCCAGTCAGGGAGAAGGCCCGGGGTAGGGCCAGAATAGCCATGAAGACATCTCTCTGGACCTTGAGAAGGTGATCTGGAGGGGGTATTGTTTACAAACCTGATCACAGTCTGGTGGTTAAAATGGAACCAGTGTTGTCAAGGGATGTCAGAAAGTTGCCAAACGTATCTCAACCCCCTGTCCTGTTTCTGGGTTTTGTCCTTCTCTAGGGAGGAGGGACCCCATGGGAACAGCCAGTTAGGTTCTCTGGAAGAACACTTGCTTTCAGGGAGGCATCACCCTGTCCCCCTTCCAGGGCCTTCTACCTCCACATGACCTTTGGAGTTGGGGACAGTCCACGACCTTTAAGAGACAGCAGTAAGTCTTCACTTATACTCAGGGGAGATGGGGGTGCGACCCCACCACAGGCCAACTAACGGGATTTGGGAAACCTCACATGTCTGGGTCCCAAGACAGGCAGTGAAGCTTTGATCCCACAAGTCAGCCTTCCTCTAGAGGAAAGTGTGGGCGGGGCTGAGGGAGAAAACAGACAAGTGTTCCCTCTTCTCTGCGTCCAGACCAGCAGGCCCCATGGAAGGGCACAGAGGATCATTTGTCCCCAACCCTGGCCCTGGCACCCCCAGGGACTTCTGGGAACTGGCCTGGGAAAGTGCCCTTTTCCCACCATCTGCACCCTATGTTCCCAGCTTTTGAACACAGGGAAACCACACAGCTTGTAGAGGTTACGCAGGGTCATTAACACCCATCCCAATCCCTGACACTGGGAAGTGTCATTCCTCCCCTCCTGAGGAGCACCTGGCCCAGGTGAGACCTCCTGGAGGTGGAGCCAGGTAGCCTTCCCCACTCTGCCTTTTCAGAGCTGCATCCCCCAGGGGGCTGATGGAGCAAGGGTCCTGGCCCCGAGCCTCCCACCTCAGCGGAGCTGTGCCATCCCCAGAGCCCGATCCCTGCGCAGGTGTTGTAACCTGGCTCTGATGAAGGTGATAAACTAACACTTAACGTTTCTTCCCTGAGGTCCGGGCTGAGAGAAGCTTCTCCTCCCCACCCCCGTGCCCCGTGGCCTCCGGACGGCCTTCCCAACCCCTGTCCCTCCTGTCGCGAATTCTGTTCCATCTCCTTGGGGTAATGCCCTAATGTTTTTAGCCCCCACAGGGAAAGGTTGGGGAAGGGTGATCTTCTAATTCATGGTGGGTGGTTTCTAAGGAAGTAAGGAGGGCCTGATGCCCTGAATGGAGTGTGGATTTCACTAAAAATGGGAGTAAGACGTAGTGTAAACCCTGGCCGTTGGGGTTCTTTTCTTTTCTGCAAAGCAAGTGCCTGACTTAGCTCTGAGGGCTGAGGCATCCACGTCAGAGATTGCCAGCCACAGGACGGGACAAGGAGCCAGGCCACTTCCCCCACCGGAGGTCCCTTGGTTTTTAAGATCTTGGTTGATTTCAGTAACTGATCATTTGGGAGGCTTGTTTTGTTTTTGTTTTTGTTTTTGTTTTGTTTCCTCTCTTCCTAACACTTTAAATTTCTACTCTTATGTTTTGAATTCACCAATAAAGAGTGAGCCCGCAAAACCTTCAACCCCAATAAAAGCAGAACCCCAGGCCTGTGTGTGCTCTCTCATTCTCTCTCCCTCTCCCCACCACACACATTGCCCCCCGCCCCGCAACATCGCTGTGTGGCCCCAGGTGGGCTGTGTAGTTTCCAGATCCTGTAAGTAATAAACCTTTATTTTTTCCAAGTTTCCTGATGGTTATTGCCGAAGGGTGTCTTGCAATCATAAGAACCACAGGGGCAGTCCCACCACAACATTGCTTGTTGGCAGGCTGAGACCAGCACAAAACAATCAGTGTAGGTGGCAGGATTGCATGATTGCCCTTGCAATTAACCAAGGGGAATGCCCTTGTTACCTGCGACCTGCTTACCAACCACCCGAGTCAGGTGGGTGACACTATCTGGAAAAGGAACTCGGCTTGCAGGGGGTCTGTTGCCCCGCTGTGGGCTTTCTCACACTGCCTCTGTGGCATGTGGCCTGCGGTAGCCCCACCCGAAAGTTCGAGGCTGCCATGATTATCCAATGATCTCCCCAGAGCAGCATGATCAAGGCCACGTGGTCTAATGAGACAATTAGACCACTAATTACAAAGGCTTTAACTGACTATTAATGCGCATAAGGGTCTTATAGACTCAAGGCCAAGGAGAGCTAAGGAGGGTGGGTTGGATAGCAAGGCTATCGTCACTACCTTAAAAAAAAAAATCTATAAATGTCCTCAACATCTGGTTCCAATGCCTCCTAAGAGCCCTGAGGAGGTACAAGAACCAGCTCCCTGACAAATGCAGACCCTCGTGGGTGCTAGGTGTCATTCTAGGTGTTACTCGGTGCCATGCATACCAACAAGCCAAGACTCAGTGATTGGGCTCCAGAGGCCTGGGGGCTTTTCCCAAAGACCCGGTATACATTGTGCTAGTTAGTGGAGGCAGATCCTAATCCTGGAGAGGTCTCTTGGGACACCCTGGAAAGGAAAGTGGCCATCTACGAAGAGGGTTCACTGTGACATCATCCAAAATTGTCCAGTAACAACAAATAAGGTTACGGTAATAGGATAAAAACAAGAAGCAGAGGGTGCCTAGGTGGCTCAGTCACTTAAGTGTCTGCCTTGAGCTCAGGTCATGATCTCAGGGTCCTGGGATGGAGTCCCGCATCGGGCTCCCTGCTCAGCAGAGAGTCTGCTTCTCCCTCTACCCCTCCCCCTGCTTGTGATCTCTCTCTCTC